ACCCCCGAGTGGGATGACGGCACATCTCTTGATAGTTGCATAGTGATTAGATAGAGAACAGCCCAGAGTCCACGACTGACTTCGGCCAGAAGCCCACTGGCAAATATTGTCAGTCTCTCAGCTCCTCCCTATTCTCCGGAATCCCATCCTTGTCAGTCCTAGCTTGGTGGTTTTCCCCTCCCAGGGGAAACTGGGGAATCTCTATAGCTCTACATAGTCCTAGGCCTGGTCCTGTTCTTCCCATGGACCAGCCTATGTTTTAAAATAGGTCTCTCTCCAGAGACTCTGCATACAGTCTTAGACTTCTGCTCTCCTGCACACTACTGAACTCCTTTTCCCTCTCGGGCGCTCCCTATAAATCAGCTCTCCTGGGACAGTCTCCCAAGGCCAGAGCTACATGAGGGCATCTTGTGGCCATTGGCCATACTGCACCTACCTACATGTAAACCTGGTCCCATCAAACCAGTTTGTTTTAGATAAACATGTCACATGTTTGAAGTCCAGCCTGTGTGACTAACCTGGTCATATGTACAAAATAGAAGTGCAGGCAAACGGAATTGCAGGATTACTAAGGGAGAAAGGAAAATCCAGGGTAAAAACACCTACATTTAAGCATTGGTAAGCTGCAATATAAAAATTTTTTTGTTGGGGGTTTAGTTGTATTTAACACCTTCCCACAGCCATACACATATGCAGCAGTAGGTGGGTGGTTTTGAAACGCTGGGCTGCTGCATATTCAGCAGTGACCATGCTGTAGCCCAACAGGTCACAGTTTACAACTGGAAGTTAGGATCCTGATCATGTGACTGCTGACAAAGCCTGTCTGGTAGGAGCTGGTAGCATGGGGTTAGGATCAAAATGTGTAAATGACATAATAAAAATACTCTGCATGCTAACCGGTTATTCTTGATCACTTTCAGATTTCTAAAGTCTGCATTAAGACTAGAAAACAGAACTATCCTGAGATTGAGAAGTGTCTCCCTTACAATCCTGCAGGCAAGTGTTTGTTAATTTTATGTTCACTTTTAAGGTTTACCCCTTGATGGGTTTTTCTAAAGCTTGTGGTGTAACTCCTAGAGAAGCTTTGTTTGTTTGAAGTTCTACCTTTTGGCTTTTAAAATTGGGCTAGACAGACTGGGACTGACGGATGACTTACTGTGGTGTGATTGTCTTTTGTCTAGGGAAGCTAGATGGTGTGTGATTTTAAGTAATTTTGCAAATCCTGCCTTGCTCAGTAATGGAGGTTCTTGGTATAGCAGTCATATCTTGTATTTTTTTTAATTCCTAGATTTTGAAACCTTTGTCCCTGAAGAACACAAGCTGAGCCACCATGACCTTTCTGGAGTTCCCCTTATGCATGAACACGAAGCTTCAAAGTTTGATGCTTGTTGGCCCATGAGCCCGCTCCAATGGATATTCCAGTCATTAGCTGGGAGTCAGGTTGGTTTCTAACCGTAATAGGACTTCATACTCATGCTCCATGTTCTGTGACCAACTTTGCATCAGGGAACTAGACATGCACACCAGGAGTGTTCTAGTTCAGAACATGTCAAACCCAGATAGCAAGTAATTGAGCTGCAAGTGTGAAAATGACTTGCTAAACTATTGCAGACTTGCCAAGCTTCACAATTTTGTTGCACAATTACAGCAAGTCTGCATTGCAAGTCGCCAGACCAGCGAGCTTGCAGAGCTCTTGGTAAGACCTGCAGGACTCTTACTGTAGACTTGCCAAGCATATTTGCTACAAATCTAAAGTGTCAACTAGAACTTGTGCTTAAAGTGTTTTCAGCAAGTCTACAACTTGCCAGGAATGTGTTCAGCAAGTTAACAAGAATTACAATTTAACCCTGCCACACGTTTGTGGCAAGTTATCCTTGCTATCTGGGAAACTAGCAATTGGCTATGGTTCAAGTCAAGTGACGCAACTAGCCTTGCTCTTGGCTTAATGACCAATCGCACGGTTTAAGTCTCCACAGTTTAAGGATAACTGTACTTGGACTATGGTTAAGTAGGCAAAACAAGTCAAATGGTGCACATGCAGGTTTTTTGCCATTTGCTTCTAAGTGTGTGTGTTTTTTTTTTTTCTTAGAATCTGTATGCTAAGTGGATGTGTACTCAAAAGGTGGTGGGGATATACTAAACTAGTCTAAAGTTATTCTAGTGACAGTGCAGAGTCATAATGTTCATGGTTTTCCACACTATACAGCCAGGTATTTGGAAATGGGCTTCAGCCTAAGTGGGGTTTTTGTTCTGATTTAAAAAAGAAAAACTACCTCTACTAGGTATCTACTCACTCATGGTCAACTTGCACGGCCAAGACTTAACATTGCATATACACTATTGCAAAAAGTATTGGGACACCTGCCTTTACACACACATTAACTTTAATGGCATCTCAGGCTTGGTCTGTAGGGTTCAATATTGAGTTGGCCCACCCTTGGCAGCTATAACAGCTTCAACTCTTCTGGGAAGGCTGTCCACAAGGTTTAGGAGTGTCTATGGGAATGTTTGACCATTTCTTCCAGAAGCACACTTGTGAGGTCAGGTACTGATATTGGACAAGAAGGCCTGGCTTGCAGTCTCTTCTCTAATCCCAAAGGTGTTCCATCTGGTTGAGGTCAGGCCAGTCAAGTACCTCCACCCCAAACTCTCTGATCCATGTCTTTTATGGACCTTGCTTTGTGCACTGGTGCAGTCATGCTCCAACAGGAAGGGGCCATTCCCAAACAGTTCCCACAAAGTTGGGAGCATGAAATTACACTTGGCACAATGCAGTCAGGCAAGTACTGTTCTCCTGGCAAATGCCACACATCCATCGGATTGCCAGACAGAAGCGTGATTCATCACTCCAGAGAAGACGTCTCCACTTCTCTAGAGTCCAGTAGCACACAGTCATTGAAACATTTCCCATTCTGGAATGATTGCACACACATCGTTCTCCACTTTGCTCATACCTTTAAAACCGTAATTTATTGAATCATTTCCCACCCTGCAACCTGCCACCTCTAAGACATGATTCCACTTTTTATTTTGACTCAACTCAGGTTCTATAACCTGTAAACATGCCCCTCAACCACTGCCCAGTGGCTAGTTTCATTTGGGGCGTTCCTTTCTGTTTTTAACCCCGCCCCTACCTGTATCACAGCTCAGCTGTCCCCGCACTGGGACTCGGCTATGTCCACCCCATTGCCCCCCGCTAGCCTATCAACACCATCTGTCTTCTCAACCCCGCCCCCACTCTTTACCCCTTCTGGATGCCACGGTCCTCCATATCAGCCCCTCCCACATGTATTTGACTCCTCCCTAACCTCAGCATTCAAAACCTCCCCTTCCTGCCAAGTTTCTCCCTGCACACCGGCTTGAAAAAAAGGGTTACCCTTTATTCTCACTATCCGAACATTTGAGTGTTCCGAACACTCAATCTTAGCACGGGCAAGGTTTGGGCATCCCTTCTCTAACACCGCGCTCCACCACCCATTCCACCGCAGCATCTGTCCACCTGCCACACACGGCTCTCGCCGCAAGGACATTTTGCAGATGGACTTATTGCACGGGTGGCAACCTAACATGGTACCATGCTTGAATTCGCTGAGCTCCTGAGCGGTCCATTGCACATGTTTTTGTAGAGGCAGTCTGCATGCCTAGGTGCTTGCATTTATACAGCTGTGGCCATGGAGGTGATTGGAACACCTGAATTAAATGATTTGGAGGAGTGTCCCAATATGTTTGGCAACATACTGTATCTGAGGTTGTCTGCTGGGCAGCAGTGAAGATCCCTAAACTAGCCAAGGTAAGTTAGATGGGGTCAGAAGCACTGAGGGGTGGTTGAAGGCTGTGGATGACCATTTGTACTAAGTACAGTTCTACTTTTATCTAATCTCCTCCTGGTGGTAATGCTCTTGCTCTGAACTTTGTATCAAAATAAACTTTCTCCCCCCCCAGATATTTCAAGCACACTTCCATCTTTCCTGGCAGCCCTTGATGATTTTGCACTTGACCTGCCCAAGATGGTGAACTGTTGACATTGGTTTTAATTGTTCCTTATTCTTCATGGCTTTTACTTTGTATGTACATAATTTTAAATAAATGTTGACATAATCTAGAATGGCCTCTTGTGTGAACATTTTAAGGGTTTGGGTGCTTGCAGCTCTGCTTTTGACTCTGCCTCATGACACTGGTTTTGACTGCCTGACACTTTTGACTCTGCCTAGGACTGACACTTCCTAAGACCATTTTATGACTTGGCTGGCACTGCCTGTGAATCTGCCTAAAACACAGGATCTGATATGGACTCTGCCTATGACCGGTTAATGACACTGACCTATTTCTGGAACTAGAACCATTTCTATAACCTATGACAACTTGACTCTGTAAGATAATTCATTGCCTGGCTATAGCACGATGACCCTGTATCATAGCCAGTGATATTTAAAGGCAGGCTGTTCACTTTGCAAGGAAGTACCCCTTTGCATAGTGACACCTTAGCACATTTGCCAAGACTAAAAAAATAGTTCAGGACCATTCAGACAACTAGGTAATGGCTATGAGGCAGCTGTATGCTGACTCGAGCTCTGAGGACCCTCTTTAAAACACCCAGTTATCAGCTAGTGCCAGGTGATGAGACTCAATGTTCAGATGTTGAGAGCAATTTGTCGTCTCCTGCATTGGACAGATTTCCTTAAGGGACTGCCAGTCAACGTTCAGTCCAGTCCCTTGATTGTGTTGGACATCAGCCCTCAAGGAGGATTTAGAAGTCGCCTGTGCAAAGGGAAACGGATCTGGTCTTGGCCAGATCTTAACAGTCTGGCCTTGTCTGCAGTAAACTTCCTAGGAGTGGACTTCCTCAGACACGTTGGACTTGGGTGGGAATGATCTCTATACAAGTATTTCAGGAGATCTGCTGTGGCACACTGGCAGTAGACATCCAGATTGAACAATAAACTTGACTGGCTTGTAACCTGCTACATGGATCCAAGAGCATTTTCACTGCATATACTGGATTACTCAGTGGGATCAGCTTTCCCTCCATTGAAGATTCTTGCCTGCTGCACAAAATCAAAGCAGATGGCATTCCAGTGATCCTTGTGGCTCCAATAGCCCAAAACAGTGTGTGGAATATGGATATTCTTTGGATTCAGGTAGGCTCTCAGATCTGCTCTGTTGCTGGCCTTGACAGCTTGGCTGTTGAAGCCTGGCTCCTGAGGGAAAGAGGGTTGGACTTTTAATACCTTTCTTGCAGGCCAAGAAGTCCACATTTTGCAAGGTGTACCAGCCTACCTGGAGGGCTTCGTTTGGTGCAAAAATATAGTCCTTGGTCTTACTCTATGGCAGGACAAGGAGAAAGAGCATCATGGGCCTGGTGCTAAGTATTTCGGTGGGCCTTTTCTATGGAAATGGCAACAGTCACTGGGGCCCGCTTCCTCCTATTTGAGCTCTAATTTGTAGTCTCTCTACAGCTTGTCAGTGGTGGAGCGCCAAGGCCGGGTTGCAGCTGCGACCTTGGTAGATCTGCCAGTGACTCCAAGCTGTCGGTACTCTCAGGCAATCGGAGCGGGCTTCATGTGATTAGTATAAGCACCAGGCGGTCAGTAAGACATGATTACCAGAGTCAGACCAGTGGCGGAACTAATAACCAAAGGGCCCTGGTGCAAGATTTTATGTTGGGCCCCCCTCCCACGATAGGGAGGCACAAGCGGCTCTCCACGCCCCCCCCCCTGCA